TTCTTTATTGTAGAGATGAGGTCTCGCCAAGTTGCCCAGGTGGGTCTCGAACCTGCGGGATCAGGCAATCCACTCACCTCAGCCTCCCAAAGGCGCGGGATTACAGGCTGAGCCACCGAGCCCAGCTGAACTGAATCTTAAGAATCCTGGCATTTCAGACTTGGATTCAGTGCTGCAGAAGAAATGCTTGTGTCACACTCACATAGTGCTTACTCTGTGCCTGGAAAATCCTAAGTCTGTTACCAGTGTTAAGTCTCTAAATTCCCCACATCTGTCTAGTAGGGATTGCAAATTCCCATGTTACAGAACTGGCAACTGAGGCACAAGTTCTCCCGAGCAGAACCCAGACAGCCCACCTTAAGCATCTATGCTGTCACCATTGTCACATACTGCTAGAAGAAAACACACACAAGACCTGCAGCTAGCTGCCTGACAATATATCTGAGTCTTCTCCTAGAAACATTCTTCGTGGTTAAGTCATTATGGGTTAGGAGTCTGTGGTTAGTGCAACGGGCAGCCATGGGCGAGAAGTGCATTCCTGTCATGGTGGCAGTTCTCCCGGCTTCTTTCTTGATATCCAGGGAGCGTGAGTAAACCAACAAGCAGTGCTTTGGGAATTGGAATGCCTGGCTTCATTCTGAAGTTCTGCCTTAGGTTTCTTCAGAAACCATATAATTATAGTAATAAAAACTACAAGATCTTAGAATTCATTTCGGGGAACTCTTTTCTTTGACAAATATGGTAGGATTCCTTAAGGCATGTTAGTGGCTGAGGTACCCCTAGAATTCAGGTCTCTCAACTCCCCCAGCTCACTCCCTTCTCCTTCTGAGCCTGGCTATGCCGTTGCCCTATGCCATGGGAGGATGAGTGACTCTTCTTTCATAAAAGGTCACAGAGACAATGGCTATAAAGTCCACACATGTCTATGAGACATTGTCTATAAATGTATGGGGTTTCTTGAAAGAAAATATTTGCCAATCACTGCATTTGTAATAAGAAATGGGTTGTATTCAACAAATGACTGTTTTGTTCCTAGTAGGTGGTCAGTGAGTGCTTAGCGTTAGCCAGGCATGTGCTGATGTACCTTCCCAGCACTGCTTCATTAGTCTTCCAACCCACTCGACTTTCCTTAGGTTGAAATGGAAGCAATTTATCCAGGATCTTAGCCTGCTGAGATTCCCTGATTCACTTCTGAGGACGTCCTGACTCCAGAATCTCTGCTCCTGGGCTCTAGATTTGATGCCCCGTGGTGGATATTGGCTTCCTAGAAGATCCCACAGCAGAGACTCTAGGGAGAAGCCATTTCCAACTCTTGGGAGGAATTACGGAAAGGCACAATGAAGGGAGAACAAATCAACTTGAGCCCTGCTTTGCTTGTCCCCCTCACAGAACCTTGCATTCATTCTGTCTGAATTTTACTAGTTACCCCTCTTCTTTCAAATTAGTGTTGAAACCTCTCTGTGTCTGGCCCTGTCTTTTGCCCATGCTTCAATACGTTTTCCCTCCTCCCACTTCAATACATTCTTATCGAATGAATAAAATATTTTCAAGACTGGCGACTGTACAATTTCATGCTGTCATTTCCTCCCAGACCATCTCACTTCACTTTCCAAGAAGTTTCCCCCCATACTAACAGAAACCCCTGTATAATTTATTAATGCATCCTCCACCACGAACTTGGAGGATTGCATCCCATTTCCCTGTGGAATCCAGACATGCTTTGGGTTTTCTGTAGGTTAACAAGCTGAAAGTTGCTGAAGTCTTTAGTCTCTCCTGGAGTAGTCATGTTACCGTTATTCATGGAATCCCAGACCCAAAGGGCCTACAAAGATCCTGTAGAACAACCCCCTCTTTTTATATGTGAGGAAGCCACATTCCAGAGAGGGAGACCAATTGGCCCACAGTCACAGAGAAAAGCTTCCCGGCTTTGCTGAGTGTTTAGATGGGCTTCTGAGTGTTGAAAGTACGTCTACTTCAGGGAGGATTTTTGGAAAGTGAGTTGGCCACTACAAGGATCAGACAATAAACACATGGAAGGTGAAAGGGTATGAATCAGAAAAGAAAGTCTTCTGGAAAATGATAGCTTGTCTCCTTCCCACTTCTGCCCTGTTTAAAAGAGAGTCTCTCCCAGCTGGGAGGTCAGTCATAGCATAGAGGAAAACAGTGGAAATCCCCACTCTGAGGCAGCTTTGGAAGTTCCCAGATCCTGCAGGGGGAATGCATTTGGCTGGAGCCTGCATTCCTGATGCTGGGCCTGGAGCCAGGGAGCTCTCACGTGGGGCTGTGCTGGGAATATCTCGGCACAAGCCTGGGTTGGGGCGTACAAGGGAAAGGCCACAAGAAGGGGTGGATGTCGGGGGGAGTGAGGGTCAAGGCTTTAATGCTCTCCAGAATCCCCAGCTCCCCTGGGGTCCCCCCACCGCCATCAACTCACAGTTAAGGAATGGGAAAGTTCCTCTTGGTGAATAACACTTTCTTCCTTCCTCCCAGGGGCCTGACCCACCACCAAGATCCTCCTCGTGTACCTTGGTCATCAGTGCAGACACCCACTCAGTGTCAAGGGTGAAAGAAAGAGGAAGTCAAAGTGAGCTTTCTAGAAAGATCAGACACTCAGCGCCTAGGCCCTCGCTCACTTCTGCCATTCACTTGCTTACCCTTCCCACCCCGTGCAGGCTCACTTGCCAGTGCTCCCTCAGCTCAGGCCTTCGTGGGAGATGTGCACCTACTGAGGCCTTTCTAGACAACTCCATTCCTCCTTTCTAGACATCACCCAGTCCTCGGGTCTCCCTTTCGTGTTAACTCTTAGCTCCAGGTAGACTGGAGCCTCTACTATGAAATAAAGGATGAAAGTCTTTTATTTTTTCCCCAGAATGTCAGATATGAATAAGACCTTAGAAATCATTTATCTGTTTCTCTGATGGGGAGACTGAGGTCAATAACAAGGTGGTGTCAGGCCCAAGGTGACATAGAAGGTTAATGGCCCTGTTTGTGCTGGCTAGTCCATTTCTGGGCACCCAGCATGTAGTGCCCTTTCTCATTGACTACACTGTCCCTTCTTATAGCATTCATATAATTTGCACCTACCCTGTGCAGAATCCCAGGTAGGGGACTGCTGGGGGCGGGAGAAATTAACCAGATCTGAAGCTCACTTTTCAGAACAGCTGTCAAAGTGAGTATCCATGGAAAGTAGGACTGAACTTAGAAACCTGAGCAGTGCCCACCCCAAACATCCGGCTTTAGGATTTCCTGTGTTCTGGGGTGGATCTGCCCCAGATCTATGAGAGAGGACCTCAAAACTCTGGAATTATCTTTTGGGCCCCTTATAGTACAGGCTTCCCCCACTAGGTAAGTGTTTTAGGAACCCATCAGCATAAGTGTATCAGTTAGTGCTGTTGCAAGAGACTGTGTTCAGCTTCAGTAAATTTCTGTTTTGGAGATTCAATGCATTTGCCCATTCCATGATAGGTGACTTACAAGCTTACCTGTCCACACTGCGCTGAGTGTTCAGCAATTTTTGACTAAAAAATGGCATGAACCTCATGGCTCACCCTCCCTATTCACCCAACCTCACCCCACTAGACTTTTTTGTTTCCCTGAATGAAAAAAGTCCTCAAAGAAAAATGTTTTGCCAATGTGAAAGAGGTGAAATAAAAACAGCAGAAGCACTAAAAGGCATCAAAACTGATAGGTCCAAAACTATTTAGAGCAGTGGAAAAAGCATCTCAATAGGTGTATTGCATCAAACAGAGAGTACTTTGAAGGTGACTGAAGTTGAAACATGTAAGAATAAATACACAATTTTTTATAAATAAATTCCAGTGTTTTGGAACCCCCCTCATATTTGCATAAAGAAGCCAAAAATATTCCCAAGGACGAGGGGAGAGTGGTGATAGACATAGTGTATGGGAAGAGAAAAGGTTCATCTGCAGTGGCCTGGGTTGGCTGGCGGAGGAATGGTATCTGAGTCAAGCAGGAAGATTGTCCCTCAGATGGTTTCTGAGCCAGCACCTAAGTCCTATGGGAAGAGGGCCATAATGGGGCGGGGGGAGGCGGGTGCTGAACAAACTCTTAGGCTAAGGGTAGTGTGAACCCCTTACTGCACCCTTGGTTACTCAGTGCGGGAGAAGCTACTTTCCTCATTTGGGGCTTGCATGACACAAGGAGGCCTGAGCTATGTGATGGTGGGGGTGGGGGATGTGCATGGGGTGGGGGTAGCAAGGGACAGCTGAGCACATT